CCTCTACCTGTTTATAGCAAAACAAAGACAGAGGGATCTCTGAACTGGTAAGAGATGCTGAGGCCATCTGAGATTCTGTAAAAAATAAAACACAGGCAAGGAAGCATCCATCTTTGAACTCATTTTTAAAACTCTACCATCTATAATATTAATGGTAAAAAGCCATCTGGCCCTTTTCAAAGGCATTTTATTTTACTGCAACAAAGAGAATCTCATAACGATTTTTTTAATATATATAGGCAGTATAAAAGAACAAAGAATCTGATGGCACATAAAGACCCATCCCACAACACTGTGTCAAGACCAGTATTCCTTTATATTTCTTTAATTTCACCAGACACACATAATAGGGTATGCCTGGAGTAGTTTTACATGCTTTACAAATGATAATTTACTTAAACTTTTTTATGGTCCTAGGAGGTATTGTACTATTTTAGATCCACTTTAGAGACGAGGAAAACAAAGCACAGAGGGACTGAATGATCTTTCGAGGTCACACAGCTAACAGGAGGCGGAACTAGTTTAAACCCAGGCAGTCTAGCTCCAGAGTCCACATTTTCTCCATTATGCTGCCTCTCAAACTTTCATCAAATCTAAGATAAACTAGGATTTGTGCAGGATCACCTTAAAGCGTTTATCACCACTTCAATAACTAATTCATGCCATGTTGCAGCTTCCTTGGATCCCATGCAAGAAGGAAAAGATAAATACTATCAAATACTACATTTGACGGCTTGTGCTGTCTTTCAGAAACAAAATGAAGGTACAGAAAAGTAGAGTGTCCCGTATCTTCTGGGAAAACTACTGCACAGAAAGTGAAATGCTAGGCAATCACTTGGATGTTTAAATTTTGTTATACCACTGGACTCCTCAAAGGTCTTCAAACTCATTCAGATTCAGAACTGCCAAGGCAATGTGTATCAGAGAAAATTTAATTCCAAGATAAAGAGACATAAAACAGCTCTTTCTGGGGGAATTCCACAGTTGATGACCCTCTGAGAGTTTTCTACTCAAAATTCTTTTAGCACAACTGGCAGAGTGCAAATATCCTCCTCCGCTGGCCTCTGCCGACTGCCCTGGCACGCTGCCTTCACGGGAGGTGCCCTCCAGTGTGATCAGCCAGGCAGCCTTGTCCCGGGTGGGGCTGGGGGTCTGTGCACCCCCCCCCCCCAGTGCTGCAACACTCGCTTTGGGGGTGTGCAGGAAACTAGGGCAGTGAAGCAGGTGGAGACTACCTTCCTTCCTGCCAAGAAGCTACTTATCTTTTATTCAGGAGAGGTGTGTATATTGGGTCAAGAGAAGAATCCTCTCTTCACCTTTATCAACACCTGACTGCTCTTCAAATTCCACACCTGTGGCCTCCAGCTGTGCAAACACCTCTGTCCCAGTGGCATAAGTGGCACCATAGACTATAGCCCATCAGGTACCATTCTTCTCTCTGACCATCTTCCCTTAAAAACAACATGAAACAGACTAACCAGTAGGGGCACAGAAGCTTTACCTTGTTCTTTTGTTTACCAAAAACTGGAGTTACCACCATCTGCCTTTAATTAAAGCAGCAGTGACCCAATTGTGCAGCAAGTCTGGCCCAGTGGCTTGCAAGGAGCAAGCAAGCAACCATGAGTCCCCTTTACTTTCTCCTCCCTAACCAGAGACGTCAACCCAGGGCTGTTACTCTCCCTCTTTCACAAAGTTAGGGGCAGACATCCCCAAAGACTGAAATAATTAAGGGAACGCCTAGCTTTCCAAACTGCAATTTACCTGATTCCTCATCTCGCCAACGCTTCTCGAAGGCAGGCTCCTCCCTTTCCAGCTCCAGCCTTTTTAACTATTCTTCCCTATTTCTCTCAGCCCCCTTTTTATTACTGTTAAAAATACTGGAATACATCGAAATCAACTCAGTTCCACCATCTAACCAGACATACCAATCTAGGGATCCAAAGATATCCCAGAAATTTACTTGACTGGTTTGTGAATTTTTTTTTTAGGGCAACTGGGAAAGATAAAATTTTAAGATGTAGATAAAAAGGTGGGAATGAATTTCTCAAACTTCTGGGGTATGGCTCTGATTTCTACCATTAAAATATCCATTTGTGATTATGGAAAAGGTAAAAAAATCAGTGTTCTGATTTGGCACTTAGTACAAGATGTTGTCTACTCATAGAACACAATGATTTTTTTTTAAGTGTTATTTGATTATACTGGGTGGTCCATTTAGAATCCAGACAATACAATCTCACTTTAAAAAAAAAAAGATTTACAAATAGGCCACTTTACACAACAGCTATGGCAAGGAATTTATAAGTGCTGTAAGGTTCAGAGTTTATTTAGTGTAAATACAGTCTAGACTCACTATCTTACCCCCATCTCACAGCCCACAGCAAAGAGTAAGCCTGATGGGAAAACAAGGTACTGAGGACAGATGCTAAAATGAGCGTCCTAGGTACCTCTGTGAATAACAAAACTGGTACCTTACTTTAGTAGGGGGTTCCGGTTGGAAAGGGGCAGAATAAGAGGTCAGGGGCAACTCCCACGTCAGAACCACACCAGGAAGCCTTGCTCAGTAATGAGCCCTCCAATGTGCAGAGTGAAGCCATGACCGACAGTGGACAGCCCGCCCCCCAGATGCTGGAGGCCCCGGGCTGATACTCACGCTGACACTGTCCCCAGGACCGGCGGGCCCAGCCCCAGCAGCAGTCAATCCTTCCACCGTAACGACACAGGCCAATGGATGACACTATTTGCCTGGGCCACCTACCAAACAAAGAAATTCAAATTAAATACACTCTTGAAATTAAAAATAATTTCCTTCTTATTACTTTAGAAACACTTTTTAATCACACCCAACAATTTTCTACGAACCCTTTCATGCCTTAAGAAATGAAACAACAGAACCCTTTCAGGGAAATGGTTCTGCTATGATCTAATTTCAAACATCACACACACACACATACAACAGCGCAAGAATTGAGGGGGAAAAGGAGGGGAAGATCCTTTCTTACAGGGAAATAGCACCAGCTAAAACCAAGAATTCTCAAGGCTGCCACTCACAGGATGGTTTCTGAAGTTTGAAATAAAACAGATTCCTCAAAGGCCGACACCTGTTACTGAGGGGAAAGCCAGTTTTGGCTGATTCATGGTAAACTGAAAAGTATTAAATCAGACATGTCAAAGCAGAAAAAAAAATTCTGCCTTGTATAAGGGGGTACTTGTGGGAAGGGGCAGAAAGAGAGGAGGTTTCTCAAAATCAAATGGAACACAGCTCTTTTTTGAGATATGACTCTTCTGCAAAAAAAGTTTTCAGAAATAAAAAGTACTTGAGAAAGAAGACTAAATGAAACCAAGGAGAGTTTAAAGTGTAGCTAACATCTGAAGTGTCCTTGTAGTTTGAAACTTTCCTGCATCAACAATTCGTGTTACCGTCCTATCTAACATCAATAAGGGCTAAAGCAAACACTAGGTTTCAGGATACGATTTACCAACCAGATCCCACTTTGACACCTTACTTGGTACATGGGTTTCTTGTTTAGATTCACACCTACCTCGACGACTCTCCCCGCCTCCCCCCACCCCAGAGGATCAATATTTTAATCGTCTCTTTTAGATATTTTTAAGACTACATGAAAATCTATGCATAACCATGTGATTATTTCTTGCTGCAAATATGTGTGCAAAAAAAAGCACAGGATACCCGAATGCGGGGAAATCATTGCTTTAATAAAATAAAACAGCCTCTGGTCGCTACCCACTTTTTTTTTTTTAACTTAACTGATTTTTCATTCCCCCTGCCTTCATCTCCCGCTTCTGCCCCCGAGCCCAAAGGACAAATAACCCCGAACTTTCCATTTCCTGCGACCAGGTGATAAACAAGCGGCTGCGCTTTTTCTCTTCAGCGCTCCACTGGCTCCCCTCCGTTCCTTCCAGGCACAAGAAAGCCAATCAATCGTGGAATTGATTCGTTCCAAGACTGCAGGTAAAACAGGTGCGGCAGTCTCTCGGGCTGCGCGGGGGCGGGGGTCACTGCGTGAGGCTGACGGGGTGGCGGGGGGACCCAAGTTAAAAATCTCTCCTGGCTGCTGCCGCCTGTTTTCTGCTTAAGCAGCAGCGATGGGCGCTCGGGGCGAGTCTGGTCTGTTATTGCACCGAGGTGGAGTAACGAAGCACGCCCTCCCGACACACACACACTCACACACACGCATGCACACACTCTCGGGAGCCGATCTGGCAGCCGGGGCGAGGGCTCCTCGCTCTGCGGGAGGAGGCGCGGCTGAGTGACGGGAGCGGAGCAGAGCCTGGGGTTGTCGGGACCTGTCAGAGCACGCAGCAGTCAGGCTCGCCCGAGGTCTCGGGGGCTGTGTGCGCGCACAGGCACTCACACACGCGCGCGCAGCGTCCTCCCCCGGCCCCTCGGTCCTTATTTTGAGTCCTCCCTCCCACCAAGAAACCAAGTCTCCCCCTGGAAGCACAGTGGCTTCCTCTCCCTACCCTTTGTGTGACTCACCGTGACAGCCCCCAGCCGGGATGTGGCCCGGACCTCCTGGAAGTTTCCCCACTGCAAAGCTGTCTAAAGCAAGAATTTCCCAGCCCAGGGATGTCCCGCACGTCACCGCCTGTGAGGCAGCTTACCCGCGCCCTCAGAGCCCGGATGCCGGGCTCCAGCTCCCTTCTCCCGCAGCCCCGAGTCGGGCTCGGCGGCCCGCCCCGCAGCGCAGCCTCTCCCGGGTTCCCGGACGCGCAGGGGGCGCGCCCTCTAGGCCTTGGGCAGCCACTGGTGGAGACGGCAGCTCGACGGCTCTCCTCCCGCCGAGGCCGTGCGGCGGCCCCGCTTCTGGCCCGAGAGCAGGGACACGGAACCCCAGGCAGGTGTGAAATTAGCGCTGGAGAGAGCAGGAGAGGGTCCCCGGGGGCCGACTTACCGCCCGTCGAACTCCGCGGCCGCCTGCAGGGAGAGCGAGGACCCGAGCACCAGAGCCAGGAGGAAATCCATCTCGGGCGGCGGCTCAGCTGCAAGCGGGGAGCAGGTGGCGGGTCCTGGGGGCGCAGGAGAGGCGTGCTCGGTTCCCCGGAGGAGCTGCGGCCGCCGAGGCTACTGCTGCCCCTCTCGGAGGAGAGCCGCGCGGCGCGCAGCCGGAGCAGGTCTGCTCGCGGCGTCCCGCGCCCCTCCGGCTCCCTCCCCGCGAGGGGAGGCGCTGCCCGGGAAGCCGCGCCGCCTGCGGGGAGGGGCGCAGGGGCGGGGGGCGCGCGTGCGCCCGGCTCGCCGCCCTCGGGTCCCCGGGTGAGGGGTGAGGCCGGCCGGCCCCTCGGCGGGAAGCTCGTGGGCGGGGGCACTGCGGGAAGGCAGAGTCTCTTGGGGACCAGCCAAGCGGGGCGACCGCCAGGCTGGGAGAAGAGTTGCCAGCCCGGCCTGGACCAGGGAGAGCAGGGTGCTCGGCAGGGAAGTCTGAGCCGGGGAGGAAAGGGGCCCGGGGCGTAGGTGCGCGCTCCGCGGGGTCCTTCCGAACAGGTGGGGACCGCAGGGGCGAGCCGCAGCTTTCACCGGAGGGCGAAGTCCGAGATGAGAGGTTTGTGGGGCCGGAGCTGAGCTGTGTCCGCATGAACGCGAAACCGCAGCACGACTTGGACAAATTGGCGAAGGCAAACTCCGGGAGTTTGCTGCTCCCGCAGAGCTGGCAGAGGCAGGGTTTTTAAAAACTTTGTAACCAGCCGAACGAAATGCCTGGCGTCTTCAAGTTTTGAAGAGAGGTGCAGACTGTTTCCATCTCCGCCAGCTCGACTCTGAGCACAGGAGGAGAGCAGCGGCTGCCCCTTCGGGGGCACGTGCCCGCCGGAGAGGGAGAGCAGTTACTGCTTAAGTCTGGTGGTGCCTGATCCTCGGAGATCATTTAGAGAACCATTTCGAGCAATTATTGCTCTGTTATTGCTGAGTGAAAGGTATTGTAGAAGGGCTGTGTTCAAATAAAAACACGCAATGATTATCCTAAAATTCAGGTTAAAGCATCAGTCCAATCAAGTCACCTCTCTTCCCACATCCCACCCGGAATGACTGCCCAGGGCACTGGTCTGGCCTCCCATACCTCTCCGACCTAACAGTCTATGCCCTTCCTTCCTCTAATCCGTGGTCGCCCATGCCTTTCTTCCACACTCAGGCGTTCCTGCCTCTGGCCACTGACGGTCACGTCCACCTCAACCCAGACAGCTATTCTCTGAGTGGTTCTCATCCTCACTTGTCTTTGCTCCTGTCACCTCTTTTAGGTGACCAGTCTTGACCACCCTATTTAAAATTGCAACCTGTCCCCTTCTGATGTCCCCTGCCCATTCTTTGTCTTTTCTGCAAACCACTCATCTCCTAGTTTCCTATGTTTGTGTGTGCCTGTGTGCTCAATCCTGTCTGACTGTGATGCCATGGACTGTAGCTCGCCAGTCTCCTCTGTCCATGGAATTTCCCTGGGAAGAAGACTGGAGTGGGTTGCCATTTCCTCCTCCAGGGGCTCTTCCCGACCCAGGGATCTAGGCTGCCTCTCTTGGGTCTCCTGCATTGGCAGGCAGATTCTTTACCATTGTGCCATTCTGTTCCCTATATAATTTGCTTATTTCTTATTTTGCCCGTCTTCTTCCTGCTAGAAGGCAAACTCCACAAGGGCAAGTTTCTTTGTTCAGTGTGTTTCATGTAGTAGGTGCTCATAAATGTTTATTGACTGAGTTTGCTACGTTACAAACTTTACCCCTGACCTTTATTTTCTTTTTGAGATTTCTCCAACTTTAAATTTTTAATGGAAAATTCTGTGGCAGAGTGACCTCACTATCCTGATCTCTTAGTGTGTATAAACACAGGAATTTTCTGCAAGAAAAGGAAAAATAATGGTTTCAACTTAAATGACTCTTTGATTTCCAAGTTGTTTTCTGTTAGCAAAACAAGTTTCTATTTTAATCTCAGGAAGCATCCATGCCATTTCGGGCTTGGGACATTATTTTAGGCAAACAACTTGGTGTCATCCATTTCAGATCTTTCTAATGAACTCCAAAAATGTAGCAGTCAAAATATTTTTTTTGCAGAAAATAAAATTTTTGAAGTGTAACGTAGGCTGGTTCCAGGTTTTGGTGGCTGCTCCTTAGTCATTTTGTGTGTTTATAGGTTCCTGGGTTGAGCAGTGGATGCTTAGAGAGAAAGGGGCTAACCGACAGGCTAGAAACTAGAGTTAGAAGGAAAGGAGGATGTGTAGCAGGTAAAAACAGGATGGATATCTGGAGTAAGATTGTAATACCCCCTCTGCCTGCCCCCCCCCTTTTTTTATCTTTTCTTTGACCTAGAAAACACTCCATTCATCTTCCTTCTTTTTTGTTGTTTTTTATTGGCATGTAGTTGACTGACATTGTTGTGTTAGTTTCAGGAGTATAGCAAAGTGAATCAGCACCTCCCTTCATACAGACACACTTTCCACTTACCCTTTGGGTCCAAGCTTAGCTGACACCCAGGAAGGAAGCCCCTGTAATTTTTCACTTGGCTGAGACTCCTATAGCTTGTATTGCTATAGCCCTTTGCATCCCCTAGAGTAACTCTTAAAGCACTGCTTCTCCACCGCTTGAGGTTCCCCCAAGACACGAACCAGTAGGAGGACAAGAGCAGTGTCACTACATCCCTTGTGCCCAGCACAGTACCTGGCACAGGCTGGATTGAATTCTGCTTGGTGATCTTAGCCTCTCCCTCAAGTCAGCTGTAGCTAATTATATCATTCTTTGTTGAATCATGCAGCGAGGGGATTCTAAAAGAATTCCAAGATCTAATCGGGTAGCCTGCTGCAGTTAGGACCACTAGTGCCCATTCCAGAAAAGAAGTGGAGTTCCCATGGAAGTGACATATTGCTATCTCAGTCTTAAAAACAAACAAGAAACATATTGAACAGCGTGCTTTTAGCAATATCTGTATTTTTCCAGTAAGATGACATTTTGGTTAGGTTTCACACCAGATAATGCCACCCTGCAAAGTTCCCAATTTCCTTGCACAGAAATCATTATCTTTACTGGTCACCATGTGACACAGATCAACAGCAAAATAGAACCAAGTGAACACAACTTCCCCCACCTGGAAATCAGAAGCTCTTAATTATTGAGTCTTTTTCTTCCCCAGTAAATATTTACTGAGACCCTACCATGTATTAACCATTTCTAAGTGCTAGGACTTCAGCAACAAGACAAATTGTGCCCAGAAAGAGTTTCCATTGCAGTCAGGAAGCAAGACAATAGGTGCTATAAAGAGAGGGTAAAGGTGTAGAGAGACTCAAGGAAGCATAGGTAGTAAAGAGATGGGCTGTGATTTTAGGGCACCTCTCAAGTGAAGTGAAAGTCACTCAGTTGTGTATGACTCTGTGACCCCATGAACTATACAGTCCATGGAATTCTCCAGGCCAGAATAATGGTCGGGGTAGCCGTTCACTTCTCCAAGGGATCTTCCCAACCCAGGGATCAAACCCTTGTCTCCCGCATTGCAGGCAGATTCTTTACCAGGTGAGCCACCAGGGAAACCCAAGAATACTAGAGTGGGTAGCCTATCCCTTCTCCAGTGGATCTTCCTGACCCAGGAATCAAACCAGGGTCTCCTGCATTGCAGGCGGATTCTTTACCAGCTGAACTACCAGCACCTCTGGGAGATGACATTTGAGCAGTGTTGGGATAAAGGGGATGTGGGTCAAAGGAAAGAGAAAATGTGTCATGCAAGACATTCAGCAGTTTATTGCTCCTCCTGTCCCATATGCAGCGGTGCTTAGGGACAGGATTACTGCTTCAAAAACTCCTCTTAGGAAAACAGAAGACTGAGGAGCACACAGCTGCTCCCTCACAGCAGTCTTGACTCCCAGCTGAGCAAGAATTTCGGGGATGCACTGCTCTGGCCATGGAGGGAGGGCCTTGGTCAGAAGTCAGGTCACCCCCACTTCTACTACCTGATCCTCCAGAACCATGTCAGAAGTGACTGTTGGAGCAGATGCCTTCCTTGGGACTGTACATCATTGTCAGCTCTTTTTCTACTGGTACAGATTTGAAGGCCTGACTGTTTCTTTAAAGGAGCTAGTAGAGACAGCACATTTTCAGGCCAGAATTAAGGTTTCTGTGGCTTTAAGATTTCCTTAAAACCCTAATAGGCTTCTAATTGCTTCCAGTCAGTTTCTTGTGCAGATAACCATAACCAAAGTCTTTTCTAGTCCTAGTTCTTAAGCCTGCTTTATTTCTTTGCTTCCTTGTGTCCATACTTAACTCTTTCATCTTAATGGAGGCCACCTTGAGGCTAGCTTAAATAATAGGGTTGTTTGGGAAGGTGACACCCTTGCTCTGATCCTCACCACAAGGTGTAGATCCCTATATTTATATTAATGTTCAAGACATAAAAGCAGTTGTCTTTTTCAACCCTGGGAGCCTGAAATTTCTGGACATTCTCATTTCCTGCCATTTCTGCTTGCAAAAACAGCTAGTCCTTGCCTAAGCCCACCTCTTTCTTAAGATACCTTATAAAAGCAACAAGGAGCAGCACATATACAAGCATTTTCATTTTTTATAATGATATCCCCTTTATATGGATATATACTGTGTCTTCCAGGTGAGCATAAGTAATGATTTTACAAAATAACACGTGTCATAAGCTTTCCAGCCTACAAACAGCAGCTGTAGTTAATACCATAACCACAGCATACCACGTCTTCAAAGAATAGATAATTCCAATACTATGTAAATTCTTTTAAAGTATCAAAAAAGAAACACAAATTATTCCTGAGATGTCATTGATATCTACACCCAGAAAAAGTGTTTTCATATGTACACAAACATACACACATATACAGATATGAGTATCAATGCAAAAGCCCTAAATAAATGATTAGCAAATACAATCCAGGAATATACTGAAAGAATCCATTGCAATCAAGTTGACAGAAACCTTTATGTGGGTAAAGGGCTAACAAAATCCTTTCTCCTTCTGCATGAGAATTTGACCTTATGCTAACTTTTTAGCACTGTTCCCCTGGCAACCTGATAAAGTGATCTGTGAACTATGTTGCTATGTTGCTGGTAAAAATGGACCCCTGATTGGTAAACTGCATTTAGACAAGGAGAACCACCTATGCCTGATGGTAAATCATAGCATTGGACTGACCTGAGTTCATTGCCTCCTATAACTGGGCATGTCCCTTGCAGAGGTCTTTGATATCAAGGCAGTGGAGTTGTCACTAGAGATGGAACCAAAGATGAATCACCGTTGGTTGAATCTGCAGATGTGGGCCATATACTGTACTACAGTCTTTTATTTAAGGGTCTTGAGCATCTGTGGATTTTGGTCTCCATTGGGGTTCTGGAACCAGTCCCCTGTCGATATGGAGGGACAACTGTCTTTAGTGCCAATAATTCTCATCCATCTACAAATAATTCTGCAATGACAATGGAAGACTACTTGATGGGCCTTTGGTTCTATTTTAAACATCACCAGAAGAATTGAAATAGGCATGAATGGTTCACCAACAAATTAGAAAGAAGTTTCAAGAGTTATGGAATAGTTATATTAAGTCTCCTAACTTTCAGCTCTTTTAAATTTATATCTTAATACTAGAGTGAG